CATGGCAGATGAATATGGAGAGGAAGCGATACAAGGTTCTGATTTATTGTTTTGTCTTTAACTTTGATTCAGAGATGTATATTTCATTCCATTGAAATGCTATGTTCACTGAATCAAAACCATTTGAACCATGATTCAAACATTTTATTTTTCAGTGCCAAATGGATGTTGTAATAGTTGGCGGTTAACACAGCACAATATATTTGGTACAAATTCTTGTTTCACAAGGTTTACGATGTCAAAATTTGAAAATGAACGAAACTTGTTTTTTTTGGGGGGGCCGCCTTGTTTTTTCTCGCCCTATCGCATTAGATCTGTAGTCTGCAGAGGATGTCATCCGTAAAATTTACTTGCTGTGGCCTAACTGACATTGGCCTTATGGTAATGACATCAAGATAGGCCAAACAGACGCAATTTGTGTTATCGTATTTTGCAACTTTTAACCAAATATATACCTTTCTCAGCGGCAAGGGTCATTGCTCGTCAATACCGGACACTTTATGAAAAGTGGGATTTATTTATTTATTTCTGTTTTCTTTAACCGGGTAAACGCACTCAGTGCTACCCACACTGCTTTACATGCGTGCCGTGTAAGAGAATAACACAATCACATAACAGAAATTAGTCACCGGAAAACAGCCCATAATAACAATAAATACACGAGAGAGTCAAATAAAGTTATAGTTCTAGACAGCTACCTTTATCATGTAGTTATTTTATACTCTATTTCATTGTTCAATAATGTTTTGTAATTTGCAATTAGCCTCCGAGCACGAATTTGCAATAAACTTTTCATTAAATAAAAATCATATAACGTAAATCAGTCGATAAGCCAAGCCATATTTATCAATGGTGGTAAATGACAGCTAAATTAAAGCCCCCGTCACACATTCACGAACTTCCCACCAATTCGTTCCCGAACACCAGTCGAACAGGTGAAACATTCGGCTGACGCAGCCGACCGCCAGCCGACTCTGCGCCGACCAACCATGGTTGGCGTGCGTTCGGGAGGCCGTGAATGATAATGGTTGCTTCTGGCGATGGACGTCACCAGTATAAATTCCCTGTATTTGTGATTTCTTCGCTATTTGTGGAGTGAGCCCTGTGTTATGTCAATTAATACGTCATTAGACATCCAAAACACCAAATGCAACCATTACGTCACACATCCACGACTTTGGCCTCCCGAAGACTAGCCGAACGACCCCCAGCCATAGGTGGGTCGGCGCAAAGTCGGATGGGTCGGCTGGTGTTCGGCGGATTCGGACGTAAGTTGGAAACAGATGGATAACAGGCTAGGTAAAGCACAGGTACCAACTGCCAACCTCACAGTCAGTTGATCAATGGGTTTAAGTTCACATGTTACACCCAGGCGGGCGCAACTTTGCTCTCTGAAAAAGCCATGGAGACTTCTTTAAATGCGCTCAAGGTGGTTTTCTGAATGTCCTGTCGGACGACAACCTTAAAGGGGTCTTGAAGGTGCACGCGTGTGTGTGCTCTACCCTAAAGTCAGGGTCTACGTACATTGTATATTACGTCAGGCTTCACGATAAATGCAGGCGCAATACTTGCGTAGAGCGCACCGACTCCACGCACATAACGGTCCGGCTATACGAATTGAATGACGTGGGATTCAAACAACTGACTACACTCTTACCTAAAGGGTCATACAGTCGCCCTATTAGTGACGTGTAAATTGGAGTTCACTGGGAATTGGACGGGTACACTGGGACTTGAACCCCGGACATGTAATCCAGAGGCATGATGGCTAGCCTCTAGAGTAAAATATCGCTGCAAGCAACGTAAACATAAGACTGTGCTGCATGCCAGATCTAGTTGTGAGGTTGCCAATGCAGTGACGTGTCTATTCAACCTTTATCCATTCAAACGGAGCGGTAGCTACAAAAACGCTTTAAATGTATCCAATGCAATTTCAGGGTGGCAAAATTGGAAATATTCTGAATAAGGTAATCTGTATGATATTGACACATACTATCCCACATTAGCACATTTCAATCAGTATTTCGTACTTTAGGCATTTAAAACCGCAGAAGCAAGCCCAAAGATGAGTCCTTTATTTTCTGGGTGGTACCCTAAAAATCAATCCAGGTCCTCCTAATAACAGTTTTTCGTCAGAATTTGGGGCAGTTTTGCTCCATTAATGTCGATATACATTTAAAGGGGTCAGTGTTGTTTCAACTTAGTATGTAAATAGGTGACTAAAATACTGACCTTAAAAATCTGGTTTCCAAGCCCTGAAAACTGCATGGGATGCCTTTAATTTTCCCCCAATGTTTAATTGTAACGACTAGTGCGTTCTATTTGATAACGTTCGTTCATAGTGTAGGGCTAGACCCTTGCTTCTAAACCATACTAATATTGTTTACGCCACCAGACCCAAACTATGTGTGCACCTGTTCTATCTGAATACAAAAGTCCCTACCCGAACCTATGTTAGATTAATGGCACTTTAGAAGACATGCGAGGAACTTGAACTTGAAAGGTACCCATGACCTTAACCTCTGTAATCAGGTGCACCCCGCCCGTAAATGAGAACCACACGACTATATCCGCACCAGTAGCCAACAAAAACAAGACATCCCCATGGCAACAACAGAAGTTCATTGACTCTGTCACCAAGTACAGTAGGGGCATTATCACTAGAAAGCTTTAAACAATGTTTAGAACTATTGCAGAGTGGAACTCGCTGTCACCAAGTACAATAAGGGCATTATCACTAGATACAGTAGCTTTAAACAATGTTTAGAACTATTGCAAAACTCGCTGACACCAAGTACAGTAGGGGCATTATCACTAGATAGCTTTAAACAATGTTTAGAACTATTGCGAAACTCGCTGACACCAAGTACAGTTGGGGCATTATCACTAGATAGCTTTAAACAATGTTTAGAACTATTGCGAAACTCGCTGACACCAAGTACAGTTGGGGCATTATCACTAAAATAGCTTTAAACAATGTTTAGAACTATTGCGAAACTAGCTGTCACCAAGTACAGTAGGGGCATTACCACTAGATAGCTTTAAACAATGTTTAGAACTATTGCAGAGTGGAACTCGCTGTCACCAAGTATAGTAGGGGCATTGTCATTAGATAGCTTTAAACAATGTTTAGAACTATTGCAGAGTGGAACTCACTGTCACCAAGTACAGTAGGGGCATCATCACTACATAGCTTTAAACAATGTTTAGAACTATTGCAGAGTGGAACTCACTGTCACCAAGTACAGTAGGGGCATTACCACTAGATAGCTTTAAACAATGTCTAGAGTTAGATGTTCAAGGGTTAGGTGTAACAAGTTGACAGGTGTAATGTAGCCAGTTGCCACCGTGCCGCGTGCCTGCAAAGCTGGTGTGTTACGCCAAACGGCGGTTATACCAGCTACAAATGTATACAGATACAGAAGCTGGTGTGTTACGCTGAAGGGCAGTTATACTGGCTATACAGATACAGAAGCTGGTGTGTTACGCTGAAGGGCGGTCATACTTGTTATACAGATACAGAAGCTGGTGTGTTATGCCGAAGGGCGGTTATACTGGCTATACAGATACAGAAGTTGGTGTGTTACGCCGAAGGGCGGTTATACTGGTTATACAGATACAGAAGCTGGTGTGTTACGCTGAAGGGCGGTTATACCGGCTATACAGATACAGACTCTGTTTTTTTTATTGAAAGACTTGTCATTCAAGACTGACCGCAGCTGATTTTGTCAGTGAACACGTGTCAACGAAAGACACCCGACATCATCAATGCTTGAAATCACTCCTGCTTGGCTGACAAAAATAAACATGGAAAAGGTATTCACAACTACATGTAGAAAGGTAACATTTGAGAAGCAAATGCATAATGTTTTCACATATGGTCTGCTCTGTTGATTTTTACTCAAACACATTGTTCATATATATGGTCAGACAGGAGTCTAAATCCCTCCTGCTATAAAATTGCAACATGATGTAACCCAACACCATGGTGACAGACTGGTTCAGGTCATTGACCTTACATGTATTCGGAGAAGAAGAGGAAACTGAGCAAAAACAATACGTTTTCCTTCGGTTAACATAACAAGCTGTCTTCAAAGGTTCACTGCAAGTGATTGTACTAGAGCTACATATTACTAGGGAATGGATAGAGTTTATTAGTTATATGAAACAATTTGTTTGTTTCAAGACAATGTACAAAATGAATTGTCTATTCAAATTTCAAACCACTACTATTTATCCTAAGTTTTCTAAACTTATAAAGAAAAAAAAAACTATTCTTCTTTTAATTACCCAAGACCCACAAATTTTGGAAAAGATGGGACATTACGTCTACCATGGCCTACAAAAGATATGTCAAACCCTTCAGACATGGTTTCAGACAATTTCCATTTATTATGTAGATTTTATACTTCTTTTATACCCTGTTTCACTGTTCTTTTTTCCGTGTTATTTGTATTGAATTAGCCTTTAGGCAGAAACTTGGAATAAACTTAACATGTTATCAGTACATGGACACAGGTGCATCATCTTTGCACAGGTCAGTGGTTAGATAATCTAGTATGGGTCAAACCCTGTACAACTGTAGTTTTAATAAGGGAGAACAATAGCTCCTTGAGGTTTTAAAAATAAAAACTGCAAAGGTTTTTAAAAAAATTGGCAAGTATTCTGGTATATAACATTGTTAGATGTAGTGTATGCTCTTTCAGAAGAATGGTCTACTCAGAATTAATGTAAAGAAGTAACTGCAACTAATTGTTTGCAGTTGAAAATGATTACTTTGTCAATGTCACTGGTAGTAGACATCAATCTAGCCTGGGATCCAGCCTCACTTGTAGAGCTTGTTTTGCTTCCCTGCTAAAGGCTTACATGTAGTCTCTAACAAGACTTTTCCTGCATCCCAAGGAGCCTGATAGAGACTAGGATCTCACACTAGTGTTGAAGGATATTAACGTTTTGTTTTTTTCACAACCAGTAAAGTCTCTTACCTTGCTGACATTTTGGTGTCTATCAGACACTGTCCTCAGAACTTGTGACTGGAGTTCTGCTTCTCGCCACTATATGTACGTAAATGGCTAAAAGAATCGGTCTGGATAAGAAAGTCAACCCCAGTGATGAACTGGGACGAGGGGGGATACAAACTAAGTCAAGTTTGGGATTGTGTTCTTGGTACAAAAGCGCCACCTACATTATGTCGGCTACATATAGCGTCAAGAAGCAGAATTCCAGTCAGAATCTCTAAGGAAGGTGTCTGATGGACACCAAAACATAAGCAAGGCAAGAGACTTTACTGGATGTGAAAAAGAACATCTCAATATCCTAGTGTTGAAGGTTTACTGTTGTATGTCTCACTGGAGACTGACGTGGATAAACAGTGCTGCTGGACTCAGGTCTTCCTGATCCTTACTCAGAAGGTGAACATGTCGATACCCTAGAAGTAAAAACATTCTTATTAAAGAAAGAACCAGAAAGGTAACATTTGCAAAGCAAATGTTCTATGTTTACCATCACATGGCTTTGTTTATTCTTACTCAAACACATTCATATATATGGTGACATGCAGCCCCTTTTGAACTCAGTTCTGCATGGCACTTGCAACATTACGTAACCCAACACCAGTTACCATGGTGAGAGACTCTGGTTCAGGTCATTGACCTTATTTGTTTGGAGAAGAAGAGGAAGAAACTGAGGAAAAACAATGTTTTCCTTCAGTAAACACAGTAATGTGTATTATGCATGTACAAATACATGATGTAACTGATGGCTGTTGTTTCAAACTTTGTCAAATTAACACACTTCAGAGAAGCCAAGTGACAAGTCTCACTGGGTCAGTCTACTGAGGAAGACCAGAGTGACTGGTCGAAAGCTCTTGGTGAGAACAATTCTTTGTGTTGGGACAAAACTTTTAAGGTAACTACCAACACAGATGAACTTTCATGAAGCTATCAAAACCACTAGCCACGCTGTACCCACCTTGCTGCATGCTGGTCACAGGTAGGGAGAACTGGCCGATGGTCTCACTGTCGCTCAACTTGTCATGTTCCTTCACCTCAAACCTGAGCATGGCCAGGTCAGGGAACGTCAGCGGGAACGTCATGTCACTGTTCCACACTGGGTGGAAACCTGCGAGAAGTGAAGAAATTTCATTGCACGACAATTAGTGCTGCGTACTGGTTCACTGGACTTGGATCCGGACTTGTAACTAAAGAAAGTTTAGGTTCAAGTCCTAAAAAACCTAAAAGTCAAGAACCGAGTCCGGACTTATTACCATAAAAGACCATTTCACATAGTACCCCTTTTCTTTCCAGATTGCAAAATCTTTGCTGCAAAATGAAGAAAACATTGCCATCGGGCACCGTCAAGTACCGGCCTCCATGTTATGTGGCCAAAGTTTCACCCAGACAACATTGCAAGGTTGCCAACTTGCAATTTTGTATATGCCATGGGTTTAGGTCCGGACTTACATGTCCTGAACTGAACCTAAAGCTCTGGACTTGAATCCGGCCCTGAATCTAAATGTGGGCTTAGGTACGCAGCATACAAACGACAATTGTACATAGCCAGTCTATCGCGGTTGGGGCGGATTTTCTTCAGGGCTGCTGAAGCTCTTCCGTGCCCGCCTCGGCTAGCTTCCCTGGCAGGTTTTTCATGACGGGAGATTGATTAGCCCCTCTACAATGGGGTGAATCAACTCCTGGTGTGCCAAACTCTATCACAGGCGTAACACTCCTACCGGGCGGTCTGTTGAGCTGGGTGTAGAGAGCCTGCCCCAACGATAGACTGGATACCAGATACATGGTACAATGTATGGCAACAACTTTTGAACATAGTGCAAAAAAGAGGAATAGAATAAAACTGAACATCTTAATTACTAAAACTATGAGGTCTAATTTGACGATGGTAGGTTATTTTCCAAGCGTGTTTACCGTTGTTTTTCACCACCTCGGTCTCGTCCTCGGCGCAGTCCCCGGGAACCCCGTAGACCTGTACCTTCACGTACGGGTCCACCGCACTGCCGCCACTACCCTCGCCTTCAGGGGTAGGCAGCTGGTAACCACTGATCACCTGCAGTAGAGGACCAAACAACTCAGGGTTTTTTTTTTTTAATGGAATGGTTCAGTGCAGAGCCTATACAACCACTTCTCGGCATTGAACTAGAAATATGAGAGAAACATGGCTATGTCAAGAGATGGCGGTGAACGTTTGATTTGAAAGCCTGTAAATTGTAGGTTGGTGGGAAACACTTGGCTGGGAGGGAATTCCAAAGCTTTGCCGTACGGGGAAAGAAACTGTCACTGTAAAATGATTTCGAACAAGGAATTTGGACGGTGAAGTTGTCTGAGGTAGTGGAGAACCTAGTAGATTGCTTAAAAGTTTTGAATGGTGGAACTAGTTGGGTGAGTTCTGCAGAGCAGTCAGGACAAGATTTTAAAAATCCACTTGCCCTATTGGGCAAGTACAAATGTACATGGTCATTTCTACTTGCCTGAACCAACTTTTAACTTGCCCAAAATATAGATTCTGAAATAAACAACATTTTTATGCATTTTTACATGCAGAGAGGACATTTTTTTTTTCTGTATACAAGTAAGCTAAGGCATTAGCAGGGTACTTTGCAATCAATTTTCTGGCAAAAGGCCATACTTTTCACTGGCATCAACATTTATCTTTATGGGAAAACAACAAGTAATTTTCCTCTAACACACCACACACCACTGGGCCATAATACTGCATCCAAAAAATTTACTTGCCCAATCAGCCCAAACTAGAGACTGTTGATAGTGACTGTCCTCACTCAAGACAGTGTCAAAGTTACATGCACACACCATGGATTAAATGTACATTGGAATTTACATTTAACTGCAAAATATTTCCCACATTAATTTTACGGTGATTTACAGTAACCTAAGAATGTCACATCATACATGTATATTATCATAGCTGTGGTACCTTGATCTTGAGCGTTTTCTTGTACTTGCTGGGGATGTTCTTCGCTGTGTCCAGCCTAGTTTGCTCTGTAGAAACAACAGGTGTTTGAAAGGAGCCTTTCTCTCTAACTCTTCTCCATATCTCAGGAATGTGATCCATAATACAGTTGTGAGACATGCAAAATAAATGAGAAGTCTACAAGGCGGCTTAGCCATGCACACGCCCAAACCTCGCACTCATACATGTGTACATACTACTTACAAATTGATCAAAGCATTTCGTCTCCATGAAACTTTCTTTTTCCGAAGAAACGTCATTGTTACACAATAGTTCCTGTTAGGTGACGGTGGGCAGTATAGACTTCCTGGCACTTACTGATTCATTTGCAGGGCTCGAAATTAAAGGTGGTCCAATGGCCACTGACCACTAAAACTTAGGCTGGGACAGCTAAAAAGACACTTCGGGACATTTTTGGGACAATAGAAAAATAACATCAGAATGTCAGCCCTTCTTTTGTTTATCAGGCACATGTCACAGCTTTTGGATCCGGAAAAGTCCCCCCGAATTTCCTGTCAACTCTGCAATCATAGTGCGCCTGGGAGTGAACATATTAAGTAAAATCATGGAGTTAAATAAAATAAAGTTGATGTCAAGCTGAAGTAATACAATACTTCCCAAAAAACAGGTTGGACACAGTTCATCCTCACTTCGGGACAACTGAAATTTATTTTTGGGACAGTGCTGGGACAATAGGAAGTTAATTTCGAGGCCTGATTTGATGCACATTATATTTATATTTTTATTATTATTAAACTTCATTTTTGAAACAAGTTCTAAGTCTGCATGGCATTAACCTGGTTGAACAACACAGATGAACATTTGAACAATTATAGATCCTGTCCTCCGTACCATCTCTGAGTGCATCTGGCTTCAGCACGTATCCACATCCTCCGTTCTGTCGGAACAGTCCCAGGTTCAGGTCCATCTGATCGCACGGCGTCTGGTAGTTCAAAGCAACTGGAAGATACAGTTGTTATCATTATTACCACTGCCATCATCTTAGTTGATGAGTGGAGACTTCAAATGTCTTTTGACTTAAAGTTAAAGCCCGTCATACATCCCCGAATATGGCCTACCAAACACTAGCCAAACTCCCTGCAACCATAGTCAGGAGTGGGTCGTTGCTGGGTCAGTTGGTGTTCGGTGACATATCTTGCTTCTAAACCCAAATAGCACAGTTTGTAACGGCAAAATTTAGTACTTCTCTTGTTGTTATTGCTATAGAAAAATTTCTACTAAGCTGAAATCATTTACATAAAGTATCATTTTTACAAACTTTTAAATTGTGACATTCTGCAACATTGCAGAACACTGAAAAAAGGACTTGTATGACTGATTGAGGACTTTTGGGGTCAGAGTAACCTTACCTATTTGGCACCCAGCAGACCAGTACAGGTGAGGGTCAATATTGGAAGAGTCCACTCTACCACCAGAGGGGTATATCTTCACCAGCTGACGTTTGGTATGGTCAATGAAATCTGCTGCTTCATCTTTCACCATATCGTTGGCTTTCCCCTCCTTGATCGAGCTTATATTGTAGGGCATGTCTAGACATAAAAAGATACTAGTAATGAAATTCAAAATGATATCAGTTACCAATGGTAATTCCTATGATATTGATCTTAAAGCTATGGTTGCGTATCCTGAAATTCAGCTTTCTCATCAAATTCAATGCTAATTAACAAATTAAAGAGTCTACGAGAATAAAGTAAAAAATTCATTTCACATTATCTTTAGTCCTATGTAAATCTCTTACCCTTTTCCCTTGAATGCTGGAAGCTGTGGAAATGTACCGCTTCGCATATGTTGACAAGATCTGACAGCTCTTTAGCCAGCTTGATGGTCTTTTTCTGCATTAAAAAAAGGGACAAAGGGTTGTTAATCTGCCATGCTTATGGCATGTTCTTGGAAGGCGGAGCCTATCTCTCTCCTTTGACCAACTTTTACCTATTAGTAACCAACTGGAGTCAGGTGCAAGAACCATCAGGTACACTCCTTTGACAGACTTTTACCTCCCCAACTGAAGTCAGGTACCAGAACCATCTGGTACCCAGGATATGTTATTGGAAATCGGAGCCTAGTCCTCTCCTTTCACCACCTTCTCCTCCCCAACCGAAGTCTGGTAAAGGTCTATATAGCTAGGCCCTAAACCTTTTTGAGGTACAATGGGTTGTTCATCCACTGTGTCTTGGGCACGTACTTGGAGAGTAAAGCAAATGCCTCTCCTTCCACCGCTGTTGAACTGACCAACCCAAGTCAGTACTACCCATTTTTCACTAAGGTGGATTGAGGAAAATGCAATGACCAAAGCCACAATGTTTAGCCAAGAATACCGAGGATGGTGCCCGTATCCTCTTGATCTCATGCCTGCTAGCATAGCTCCTCAGCCAAATTTCCACACCATACCACATTACAGGCCATTTATACTGCATTGGACAATCATCATTCTTGTATCTGAAGAGATTTCACGTCAAGATGAAAAAAGAGTAAATGTCGGAATACACCATAGATCGATTGTGGATACATTATAAGTACATGTATACCTTTTCTTTGCCTTTGGACGTCTTGACACGTTCTTGTACCTCCACATCTTCCGTCTCGGCGGCTTCATCTTCGTCGCTTACGTCGTCTTCTGTCACGTTACGTTTCAGCTTCTTGTTCTGGGAACAGCGATAAGACTTAAATTCTGGCACTGTATTTTTACAGTTTTATTCATCCAACAAGTATGCTGATACAGTCAAAGCTGCCAATTCAGTGAACACATCTTCAAGCAACACCATGGCCAGGTGTCACCGCTTTTTCTCAGTCCCAAAAATTTTCTCCATTGATGCAAGCATTAAGCGACCTATCCAAAGTGACCACCTGGCCAACGCGATTGCGACCGCCCTGAGTTGGGTCCACTCAAGGCCTGATACTTGCCCATGGTGACCACATTATTTTGATCGTGCTGATTATTGTAATATTGATGATAACTAATGAGAAATTATTGAGAAACCAGCCAGTTTGCCTTGACTGCTGGATGATGTTTTTTCAATGTAAACCCTCCCCACATGCATTCACCACAGAACTGAAGATGCTTACAGGATTTGACATGAAAACATCTTTACATGGAAACCAGTTATGTCTCAGTCATGTTGTGAGGCGACCCTCTTCAAGGAGACCACCTGTCCAAGGTGACCACTATTCTTCGGTCCCCTGAGTGTCTGGCTTGGACAGGTTTGACTGTATTTCGTATCAAATGTCGCAGACAAAAGAAGAAAGAAATGCATAAAACAACTGTTCATCATTATTCGGTTCCAGTTTTAAACCCACAATTTTTTAGAACATACCTTGACGATGATTTTCTCGCGCAGCCGATGCGGAGAGGGCAGTTCCTGCATGTTGGGTGTGGCGGGGATGTTACACAGGGAGTCCCCCAGGATGTTGACCAGATGTGCGGCCAGGACTCGCTGCTGGGCCACACTGCAGTGGTTCTCCAGGGACAGGAACACTGGGTACCTGAGGTTTGTGAAAAAAAGAACATCTGAAAATACTTGTGACAGGCTGAATAAAAGTTCTAAACGGGAACTATGCGGCTCCAGGTGTCTTACTGAGGGTCGACTGCGTGTGCAAGATGTCGGTTAGCTTGAGGAACGAATCCCCTCTACTATATATCTGAAAATACTTTCATCAGGTTGGTAGAGTATAGGACATAGGGGCGAGAAGCAGAACTCCAGTCAGAAGCTCTGAGAAAGGTACCTGATAGACACTGAAACATAAGCAAGGTAAGACAAGTTTGGTTGTGTAAAAGAAAACAAGAACAGTTTAAAGGAGTTTGTATAGGTCTGCACTGCATGTTCTTGTTGCTGGTATAAAATAACACTGTAGTATAAAAAAATCTAACAAAACTGACAACAATTGAAGAACCTATGTCAAGTCATTGGTTGGATGTAGTGTCGTCGTCAAAGCATCACTTTGTAAGAAAATATTTGCTAACTCCAATAATGAAGTCTATCGATAATCATCAAAAACGTGAAGTTAATTCTCTTTCCTGCTCTGTATTTTTGCTGAGAATTTCTCTAAGAAGAAGCTGTTGCTAATACCTAGAGGCCTTGAAAGCGTAACGTCCAATCGCCTCTATGACTTCTCTGAACAGGACTTTAGAGGTGAAGGTGTAGCCATGGTAAATAACAGGCTCTCCGTCGTCTCCATCCCAGCAGTCCAGCTCCAGGAACCTGCAGCCCTGCAGAAGACAGAAGAAGAAGAACTTTATTACGCAACAGAATGTAGCGGATACATCATATGGCAAAATACACATACTTGGTGATGCTAACATGTAGTTGGTAATGCTAAAAATATCTAACAGTAATATCTAACAGTTCTATACTAACTGTACATGTACTAAGAATCTGGTCCACTTTCATAAATACAATAAAGAGACACAAATTATACTAATCTAACTCTATTGATAGTAATATATTGTGTCAGGAATTTATTACATTTTCTTGTTTTGTCAGTGAATTGTGTAAAAATTGGCCTACACATATTAAGTGGATACTAGTATATTGACAGGACATAATGTAGCATATTGAATATCTCTGTCTTTGTATGGGGTAGCGTTACATCGGTCTTACATATAATCAAGGAGTCATTATACACAGATATACACTCTGTATAATGTCCTTGATATAAAAATATTGTAACAATTTTCGTCGGTTTTCATCATAGGTTGGGCAATCTATTATAAAATGTAATTCATTTTCAACTCCTTTATGACACGTGGGACACAGTCACACACAAAATGAACTTGAATTAGGTAACATTTTGCAAAGCAAGTGCACAATGTTCACCTTCGCATATAACCTGCTCTGTTAATGCTTTAAACTCAAACACATTCATATATATATGGTGACAAGAGTCTAAATCCAGTAAATTTAGTATAAACTAAGAAACATTTGTTAGGGAGCGAGTATGGGAGTCAAATACAATGGTACCCAGGCTATTATGTAGGTCTGACAAACCTTCAGCAGAACTCTGATGTATCCTTCTTTACTACTTGGTCCGCGGAGTTGGTCCTCCAGGAGGTAGGTGTTGTGTGAAGAAGCGATGAAGTAGTGACTTAGCGGCTGGGTCATGTCCTGGTAGACTTCGTCGTGAGTGTGGTTGAAGATGTCACCCTCGTCTGACTCCAGGTACAGGGTAAAGCCTGGCAAAAAAGAACACAAATTGTGAGGGCCTGCATGGGGGGGTCCTGACAATGCTCTATGCTAAATTTTGAGAGCCGGTTACGTATCACGCTGAATTACTTTTTAATTTTTTTTAATTTCTTTTATTTTATTACAATTTATCACATTTGTGGAAGGATTGACAAAACAGGTGACTATCACCTCTTCAAAGATGTCAACCCCGAAACCAGACAGTAAGGTTTGAACCACTCACACCGTGAAGGTCCCCTGCTACTCTTTTCGATATGTTAGGTGGGTTTATTAACGTGTGTTGGGTGTGGCTCTCCCCAAATACGGGACCTCCATTTAACGTCCTATCCGAGGGACATCCCTAACCGAAGCTAGGTACTCATTTACACCTGAGTGAAGTGAGGAAAGTCGTGTAAAGTGCCTTTCCCAAGGGCACAAGATTGGTGGAATGGGGCAGGATTCAAACCCTTGCCCTTTCGAGTCTGGGCCGAAGATGCTACCGCTATGCCACACGACCCCACTTTCAAGTATCAAGTATCTCACCTTCTAGACTCAGCAAGTTGTTCTTCTTCAGTTCAGAGTTGGGCTCAAACTTCTCTATGAGCTGGTGGCAGCCCTTGAGGTCAGTTGTAACCTGGACAAGTTAAAAATACATGGTCTGTGTGTGTGTTGCAAGTACATGACTGTACAAATAAAACTGAAGCATCGAAGTAAAGGTAAAGCAGGTGAGCTCGGACAAGGGTCGTTCGGTGAAATATCGCCAGCTGCCGCATGCCTGCAAAGCTGGTGCGTTACGCCTAAGGGCGGTTACATATACCAGCTATACAGATATGACAGCATGGTGCTTTTTGTTTGCTAACAGTGCAATGCTTTTTTGCTTCAGCTTTACGTCTCCATCCGAAAAGACAGTTACTAAAGTAAAGGTAGCAGAGTGCACAGGCCTCTAGACCACACCGGCAACTTTGACTGCATGGAAATTGGCATGAACATGGTGATTTGCTATGCGCTTTAAGACATGGTCAAATGCTAAGCACTTCAAGACATGGTCAACTGCTAAGCAACTTAAGACATGGTCGAACGCTAAGCAATTTAAGATTGAAAAAAAAAACATACGACCTGGGTCGACTTTTTTGAAATCTTGTTCAGTCTGAATTTACACCACACTTCTCAATTTCTCAAGTTGTGTACGTGTAAGAGGTGTCGAACATGCTGCAAAACTGGTTTCTCCAATCGTCTCTTTGTTTCATGATGTTCATGATGTAAGTGGTGTACCGTAAGATATAATCATTGTGTACCTTCTGTTCCTGGGCTAGAAACTCCATCAACTCGTGCACCTTCATGTTTTCTCCGTCCACAGCATACCTGGGAACATGTGATGCCTGGTCAGGGCCATCACTCGTCCATCTAATTAGTTCAATTATTCAAAGAAACATCCTCATTTACATGGCAATACACAGGGTGGTAAAAACGTACAATGACTCCAATCCCTTAGTAACAAGAAGAAAACATAAAACTGTACACACGTCATCTGTTGTTGTTGATAGGTCATGTCTGGTATATTGTGAATGATTGATTTTTCAATTGCATTATTTTTACATGTACATTTGCCTTGAAGTTCATGTTCACTACAATGTACTTCCTCTTCCTATCCAGGGCTCAAAATACTGGGTACATGTGCACCTAATTTTTTCCCCAAATATTTTCGCTGGTTTACATATGTAAAGATGTTAAATGTATAATACTGTATTACATGTAGTAGTATACAGCATATCTTTACATCTAAGTGTCAGTGAAATAGTAAAATCATTTCTTATGGTTACTTTTCTTTCGATGACATGCTCACATTTTTACATGTACATGTATATGGTGCAGCCAAAAATGTTTTATTTGCCCAATAATTTATTGTTTAGGTTGGATGCACCAGAGCACCAGGTCCTATTCCCAAAAATGAATTCCGAGCCCTGCTATCCTTAGTATTTGTGGAATCGCTAATAAATACAGCACCACAAATATCATCAACAGAAAATATCATACTTATCAAACAGTTCCTCCACCTCCCGTCTGGCCGTCATGATGTTATAAAATTGGGTGAACTCGTCCAAGTTTAATGTCCCAGTCTGGTCTTTGTCCAGTTTCTAAAAAGAAAACGTTATCAACAGAAAATAGACATTCAATTCTGCCAGAAGAGACAAACTGAAAATATAATGTGTAAAACAAAGGATCGGGCACTGATTTTTCATACTTTAAAAAGAATTCTAACAATCATTTATATATATCATTGTACAGTAGATAAAATCAAATTTTATAAAATTTAATGCAATAGGGCGGAAAAAAACAAGGTGGGCCAAAAAAAAGATTCTTTTATTTTCAGATTTTGAGGTCATAAGAGAATTGAGGTGACAAAACATGATATCACAACCAAACAGATCTTTATTATTCTTGTATGCAACAGTATTACCTGTCCTTGTAGATGTAAGACCTCAATTAACTAGAAATTCTAGCAAAATGGCTAGCTGTACCATCATGGGCAGCAAGTGGGCAGGCTTTTAGCTGGGGGGTGTCCAGGGTGTCTTTTGGACGCCCTGTACTGAAAATAATAAGAAATTGGACGCCCTACTTTTTGGTAGGACACCCTAAAGACACCCTATTTTTCCACTCCCAATCCCTGCCATGCACACATACCTCCCTTCAGCCTTACTATAAATACAAAAATGATGGTTTACTGGAGGAAAAAAACTCAAATTTGCACCTCAAAATGCAGTAAAGTAGTGTTTGAGAGCATTGTGAATTTTAAAAAGCCCCCCTAAAAAGCTTGCTCACCGTGCGTCTTCACTGTGGATAGCATACAATAAAAAATATGGACACCCACCAAAAAAATTCTACCTAAAAGCCTGACACTGGGTTGGATTGGATGCATTGGATGCAGATTGGATACATTTGTGATCAAACACAAACCATTGTGCCTCAAGTTTGCTGGATTCCTGATGGTCTCCAAACCATTTTCGGCATGTTGACCACTGTTGACCACCGGACAAAACAATTTGAATTTTCTTTTTTTTTCGCTCATGTCATCCATAAAAACTACTTGCACATCAAAAGAATTAAGGAAGTACCTTGATGACTGTGTCGATCTGAGATTCCTTTATCTGGATGTTCATCTGTGCCAGGACGGCTTTGGCTTCTTTGGACTCCAGACGATCGTCTGTGTTCTTTCCCTTGTGAAAGTACTCCGAAATCCACCTACAATTACGGCATATGTGAAAATAAATACTATTAGGTGCACTTTCAAAACAATGCCATGATGATTAATTTTCGGGCTCTTGAAGTCGTATTAACCTAGTTTAATCATGAAAACATTGACACTCATCCTCTGCCGGGACTAAGTCGAAGTTTATTGCACAACTATTGTAACAGGTACAATGTGAGAATTGCATAATGATTGTAACAGGCACTACAACTGTAAGGGAGAATCAAAATCACCCAGGGCCACCACCAGCTCCAAAATATCCTGGCAGCCACAGGGAGTTCCTAGGGGCCCCTTCAAAAGTGTATGAAAACTGTGAGTCCTTAAACTACCCGACAGGGCATTGGTTTGGAAATTTGACTGACAGCGTATAATGTTCAACATATTGACGATGAGTACTACAAGTTAGATGGATATGTTATTTTTTTAATTCCTTGTGCTAGTATTTAATTTGTATGTTGTACCTTTTGCGCTTGTCCATGATAGTCTCTTTCCTCCGAGCGCGCATCAGATGCTGTATTCCAGTGACCCATCCCTTAGCAATATCTTCTGTACTGCATTCTAGATCCAACACAGGCTGAAAAGATATGCAGATAGCATTCTAGACACTACGGCAGACATTTGACGATGAAACCAACAAGACCTCCATGATGTTCATGGATGTACAATTTTCTGCATAGTTGTAATAAATGTATTTTCTGCATAGTTGTAATAAACATATTATCACAATAAGATATAGACAGTCACGTACTTCATAAAGTGAATTTACCTTGTCTTAAAATTATTCGAGCAAAAGTCAAATATTTCAGATTCCCTAATGGGTGCATGCTTGGTCACCTTCAGGCTTAGTGATCCTGTCAATCACTTGTCAAAATCGCCTCCCAACCACCATGCAACCGAAGCAATAAAAAACAGAGAGACAGACAACCAAAATACTACAATGTACTTCAATACCCAGAGGTAACAGCCAATTTCTTACAGTTTGATCCTTGTAGTAAATGCTGAATGTCTTGGTAGATTCTGTGACACATTCTCTATCCACGCGTGACTTTAGGACTGTCAGCTTGCTGAGGAACACTTCAGCGATGTTCGAAATCTCAACTGGAAGAGGGCGGGAAAGATTCTGAACAAAGACTATAGAACATATCACAAACTTCAAGAAATTGGAGATTTTAGACTCTCAGGAAGTATTTTGATTTTTGTGAATTTAGTAATATTCGGGGCTACATCCTGCTGTCTCCCAGCTACATTCTGTGACCTTTATCACAATACTCTGACTTGAAACACACAAACTCACGATGCAACCAATCAAAACAATACTTTTTTACACAGAAGTAACTGTCACTTACAGTTCTGTTCCTCTGCAGGGCGTTTGGCACCTGAAAAGTTAAGATCAAGAGGCTAGGGTTATTAACGTTTATTACCTAGCAAATCAAGATTGTTTTCACACAAACATACCCGTAAACAATGTAAATCTTGAACTCATAAATCTTGAACTCATAAATCCCATTGTCAACCTAATCTCAAACCACGCCGTTGTGTCAACACTACATTGTAACTTTGAATGTGAATATGTGGTATTTTTCTTCTTGATAATTTCTGACAAGTTTTAGGTACATTATAACGTCATACATGTATATCACGGTGCAGATCAACACTTGTCTTGAGGTTTTACTTACATGCTCGGCATGACTTCATTCCGGCGGTGTACTCGATCGTTTCCATATCCTTCCGGAGCCGGTACTTCCGCTTGTACTTCTTGCGATTCTCGCGACATTTTGTCATGGGAGTCCAGACCGCCATCTTAGTCACACACGACTCCCCGTCCATGTCTGATATCTACAAATTCTACAAATTCAAAGGAAAGTAAGAAAAGCTCTACATGTAATTCTTTTTATAGGTACAGGTGGGGGTAAGGTATTTTATAAAACCTCCCGGAAAAAAAAAACATACTAGGCAATTTCAGACTAGTATTGAGGGTACCCTCATTTAATTCTCAGCTTCCTGAATTCCCCCATGTGAACAATTCCTGCTGGCTCTTGCTACATGTATGAGACTTTCACGTTTAACTCTGTCTGTCCTTTTGCCCTCCTGTCATTCTGCCTGTCAATCTTTCCCCAGTGCTGTCAACCTACTCTGTCTGGACAGACGGCAGAAGCTCAAACAAATCAGCTACCCAAAACACTGGCACAAAGCTGGCACACAATTCGTCAATACCAAACTCTACCTTATCATATTACGCGTGCAGTCCATTAAAATACACAACAACTGGACAGGTGTATACAATGTATGTGTGTCGAGCCGAATGTATTTGTCCAATCATGCACTTAACCTTTCTTTTGATAAAGTTATATTCAATGGACGAGACCAATAAATTTTGAGGGCAGTCGTGCATAACTCTCTTACATCATAATATCATTTTTGCATCTATTATTCCAGACAATACAATGCAACAAAGACAATTGTAACATCATATGATTATTAATGGGCGTATCCAGGCCTGGGCGTACCTGGCTGGTCCTAATTATCATTACTATCATTGTATCAATCAATCATTTGACTTCAGCCCCCGTCCTGACAACTACTGGTATGCTGGAGCTCTGCTTATAAATATTACATGAGTTGTTGTTGTTCTTAAGGCCTAAGGAGGTTGTGACCAACCTTATCTCAGAGTGAAACGGCCTGGGTTTTAAGTGTTTTTGCAGCTGTCTTGAGTAACCCATTCCCATTTTGAAAACATATAAATCTTATTACAAATACCTGCGAGACAATATCGTTATAGAACCCTTGAGGGTTTTCTTGGTACATCGTTTTGTCCGCCCTTCTACGTGACTTGAAGGCATTTTAGGGAGTGTTGTGGCCGAGTTAAAAGTTCAAACGGAGACTTTAAAGTGTTAAAACCATCAAAGGGCGATGTATAGAAGGTATGTGCACGTGTGCAAAGCACCACAAAGCGGTCACAACTACGGCGGTCGACTAACTAGTAGCATGTACAAGTATTTACACATGTACCTACCTGTGTTTTGTTGTCTGTAGCACGGAAAACGTAGCTTGCCCTACCCTCCGGTGACCCTCCTCGCACGGTGACCCCAGTCTGGGGCTCGTCTCACAGCTTCTAACCGTGCCTACAGACGGAATTTTTTCGATGATTTCCAACAGAATTATGTTTTAATGTAAGCCTACAGATCAATTTGTGCACATTGTTTCTTGTAATTCGAACTTGATGTCAGCTCTGTGAAAGTCAATTTGTGTTCAGACTGTTCCGAATTCTTGCAGAGTAGTCACTTCTAGAAGTCATCACAGGGCCATTTTACAAAGAACGACATAGAACTATTAATTATGAACTTCTGATGTCCTTTAAACCAGCTGCTTTAAACCCAGCTTGTTCAATTGAAAACCACTTGTGAACTGTTGTGACCAGCCCTAACCCTACCAAACCCGATGTGGGAATCTGGTTAGATTCCAAGACAACTCGGCCCCTGAGACAACTCGGCCCCTGGCCATTCAGGACAACTCGGCACCAACCCCAGGACAAGTCGGCCCCATAATTTCTCAGCAAATAATATGAATTTTGGGTCAAAAAATTGTAACTGTTATCGATCTAGAAGCCTCCTGACTCTGATTTTAACTTTTTTCTGAGTCTCAGTGACATACAGTAGTATTTCTTATGGCGACAACGGACTTGGCCTGCGCCGCTAGCGTAACGCCCCTGGCGCTAGCGGCGCTATGTCGGCGCGGCCCGTCCGAGTAATCTAAAGCGTGCCGATCCAAGAAACGGCTAGACTTACAATTTATATTGATAAAGAGACTTCATGGAATCGTGAAGCATGTAGTGGTAAATGTTCAACGTTCTTTTATAATTGTATCCTCGTATGTTTTCGGCGGGCGGGCATGAAAATACTTATACATAGTACATTTTGTATGACCCCGTGAGTTTACTCGTAATTTAACTCTTTGAGTGGCGCGGTCAAGTCCGTCATCACAAAAAGAATAACATGTCTCAGAAAAGAATGAAGTTAAGATTATTGTCAGGAGGCTACTAATTCTCGGAGCCCAAAATATTGATGATTTGTTGAGAAATTATGGGGCCGACTTGTCCTGGGGTTGGTGCCGAGTTGTCCCAAATGGCCAGGGGCCGAGTTGTCCCAGGTGCCGAGTTGTCCTGACACCAAAAAAAAAAAAATCTGGTTATACCAGGTATTTCCCAAGGGGTGGGCTTATCTAAACAAGCTGGTAGGAGGGCTACTGCTGAAAAATATTTTGTGGATTTTGTCATTTTTGCACCACCCTGGCCCAGGAATGCCATATGGCATAGGCGATTTACTGGATACAACTGGGGGTAAAAGGTCTGACAGGTGTCACATTAGCACTGACCTGTCATGCATTTCAAGGACGTTTTAGTCCATTAAAGCAGCATTATGTAAAATTGGGGACAATACAAAATGTAACTTTTCTGCTTCTTTCTTTACAAATTAAGTTGAATCAACACTACTCCATTGCAAATAAGAAAGCCCATTTAGGACATAAGGGTGCCAAATATGACGCCTTATACATGTGTTTTCAAGCAGGAAAACAAGATGTCAGCCATGTTTGTTTACCTTGTGGTAGTTTGTGGTGGTACCACAAATTGAGTGTGCCTCTTGTGCTCTGTCAAGCATATATGTCAGATAATTGAACTAATATGTTGAAAAGTGGAAGTAAGTTATAATCAAACAAGTATTTATCAAAATAAGAATATTTCCATTTTAGGTACAGAAATGTTACATAATGCCCCTTTAAAGTCAAAATAACAGACTGTGATAAGCTAGACATTGAAGTAAGCTTCTTCTTCCATGCTTTACTGGGCCCTAACAATGGCTCACCCACTAAACATTCAAACAGAAACTCAATCAATATAGGGTCACACATAGCACAAAGACATCATTTACTGTGGCAATTATTGTGGCAGTGCTAACATCTGTGTCCATAATATCACCAGGGTCCATAATATCGCCACCTTGAGAAATACCGGTAGTGTGCTTAAAGATATTTTTACTACAACATACTTTTGGTATGCACTCCTTCACACAATCATCAAATGTACGTACCTAGGGTATGTTGCAGTAGAAATATCTTTAACTTTTTAAGCACACTATTTCTCAAGGTGGCAATATTATGGACCCTAGTGACATTATGTACACAGATGTTAACATAACAGTATCCTTAACACTGTACCTTTCAACCTCAAAAATAAAGGTAGGTGAGAACCTCACGGCACAGTGGTAAATTTAGGACCCCCTCCGTTAAGGATTTACACTGAAAATGGTAGCACTAGTTCTTGGCTTAGGCATACGAAAATAGCACAAAACATACTGTACCCTCTTTCAAAGGCACCCCTCCACCCCCACAAAAACTAGGTGCAGACATTGGTTCCCAATTCCCTTGAACACACTCCCTTTTCCAAGAACGAACATGCCTGGGGCTATAACCTTACATTACGACCTGCGCGCTTTTAAATCAACTCACCTGTGAATTGTGTAGGCTATGTCCAGACCAGGGTTACTTCAAAACGTCTTTATGGCTGTCGCCTGTGGAACTGAATCAGTTTTGTTATGTTGGCAGCGGCGTATCCAAATAAATACACACACACACTCGTCCTAAATAGAACTTCACTCGACCACACCAACATAAATACACTAAAGCAAACATAACAAACCTGCTTAGGTAAAAGCACACAGAGAATAGATAGTAACAGACGATAAGAGCAAAAAGCTTCTAGGTCTCTAAATATAATTTTTTCTTTTTCTCCAGGTAAAATGTCTCCAGAAGACATATTATTTATATGTATCTTTTAGCTGTTTGACAAATTTCTACTATTTTCCAGCTCCAAAGAAGTCTGTTAGAGACTACAAAACCACATGTTGTGAGGCACATCCTAGCCTGGATTCCAGGCTTGCCAGCTTAATTCAGTCTGGTCAAGCTGCAACCAAAGACAGCTGGGATCCAGGCCATGCCGATTCTTAACTGGGACAAACCACTAATAAAGCGAGGCCAAAAAACAGTGACTCAAGCAACTGCATATGATCTTATAAGTTGCTTGAGTAACTGTTTTTTTTTGTGTGTACTAGTATCTTATTACCTGGATGCCTAACCTTCACCGACGTAATAGAGTGTGTTGTATTTGCTCCTACTGCTGCATCTGATCTGCATTCAGAACCTTTGACATGTAAAATGTGAAGTGAAGAGACTACTTCTCCTTGACAACTGGCATCAACCTGGCAACTGTTGCAAAACTGGTCTTTCCACCACAGGACTAGTCCATCTCGCAATTCCATAGAGGGGTGAAATAAACCAGCTTACAAGGAACTTGATATATGCAATATGCTTTCTAAAAATTCCCTACATATCTCTTACCTAACCATTCCAATCGTCCTATCCAATATCATTTCATAACATTTTTACCTTCGCCAAGAAGGTTATGTTTTCAGGGGCGTTCGTGTATGTGTGTGTGTGTGTGTGTGTGTGTGTGTGTGTGTGTGTGTGTCTGTCTGTCAACGCGATAACTTAAGAAGGCCTTGATGGATTGTCTTGATACTTGGTAGGTGGGTAGATCTTGATGAGACCTCAAAGTGATTAGATTTTGGACCCCCTAGCGGCTTGTTATGGTACTGCAGCTGAACTTCCGGTTTTGATATCTCATGATCTAGACATGCTATGGTGATGAAATTTTGATGGTAGGTAGCTCTTGTGCTGGGGAAGAAGTGACGTGAGTTTAGGCCCCCTAGCGGCTTGCTCTGGAACTGCAGGAATAAATTCTTGAAAATATTCAAAAGGGGATAACTCAAGAACCGGTTGACGGATCGTCGTGATTTTTGGTATGTAGGTAGCTGACGTGATGCCTAATTATGGGTTCACCACACCACTTCGTGGTGTGGTGAAACCATATTGCTTTTTCTGATGTTTCTTCTCCTCCTCCTTCTCCTCCTCCTGCCATATCTTTAAATGGATTCAGCTTCTTCATTTTAGGGCCTAAGGTCCTGAAATTTGGTATGGAGGTACAGTGGGCAAATACCCCTAGGCGTTTTTTAAATTATTGTGATACAGGCTTTTAGAATGGTTTTATTTGAGTTTTTTGGCTGTGTTATAGCAAATGTATTACTGTGTTAGTCTGCCTTGTTTACCACGTTTGGCCATGAGTCATCACAGTGGAATGCAGGGCATCAACCAATAGGCATGCAGCTTTCCTCTATACTTCTTGCTGATTGGCTGTTGGGATTTAACTTGATTAACACCTGCACAGAAGCATTTCCATACTGACAGTATGTCTGTATTCAAGTGTTTTGGTAGGTATTTCAAGCTTTCCTGCTCCAGCATTGGAATGCCGGGCATGGACGTTTTTTTTTTATTTTGAAAATCAACAGTTTGCATTATGCAATTAAAAATCCTAACCAATAAAGTAGGGAATAGCTATCCAACTGTTGTTTTAGTTGTATTTTACTTCATATTATAGTTATATCAATGTAAATCATTGTTTTCCCTTGTGTTTCCCATTCTTTCCCTGCCATGTCGTAAAATGTGGTGAACCCATCGCTGTATTTGCTCCAAAGCAAATATTGGCCTTTCTAGTATAATTATGTGACAATTATGCAAATATTGATGTAATTTGCATAATTTATGGAGAAATTCTATAAATCAGCTGCATTCAATAATAGGACAATTAAAGCTTGTGACATTGGTAATTGACAACGAGAGAAACACAGGAAGATATTGATTATGTTAATAATGACTTAATTTGCATAATTAATGAGAAAATTTTATAATTATGTAATGATAACTGCCTGGAATTTCATACTTGTGGTATTTGAAAGTTAAATTGAGGTGAACATCATTAAACATAATTTATTCAAATCAGGACCTCATTTCCATAATTTATTAGGAAATGCTAGAATGCATTGTTTGTTAATATAAGACTGTTTTTTGGTTGAGATTATTATAAAATGATATAATTCATGAAAATTAGGTTCCTATTTCTTAAATCGGGGGAATAATCTAATCTATAATTTGTCAGTCATAAAGATTAACATCATTTGGCGAAGGTATGAGATCGGGGAACTCTAGTTGAGAATACTTTCATTTTAGATGACTTTTATTGTAGAATGTTCACATAACATATTTGTTATGGTCCATATATATATCAATTCTTGATACACAGTAAAATATAATAAAAGTTATTGTGTACTATGGTGTTGGGTAAAAACATTGCTGTGCCAATCTTTAGGTGTGATATGTTTTCAGGAAACAATATGTATTGTTTACAAACAAGTTGCAACAAACAATGCATAAATAGACATTATGGTCTTTTCCATGTAGGATTCCTCTTGTTCCCTACCCTTTTGTTTATTAGCAAGACCATGCCACAAGGTACACTGTACTTAGTAGGGGTTGAGATATACAACATGTATCTACTATACCCCATCATTGAACAAACTATTGGAGCACCTGTGTACACTCCATAAGTGCATAAAAATCAAAACTGTGAAGAAATGTTTATAATCACTTGGGTAATAGCTGGAAACTTCATCCGTGTTGGTACAATTAATTCTGTAGCATTCTGTGTTCACCTATTATTTTCCAATATTTCTATTGTCTTGGAAATCATATTTCAAATCCTTCTTCGGAGTCACTTTGGTCACGGTAACACAATGTAAAACCAGCTTCATTAACTGAACGTTAAGGAAAACCTCAACATTTAACTCTCTTCCTCTGCCTAAGCAGTCACCAATACATATTTGGTGCCAAGTGGCTACCTTGGCAGTTTGAAGGTTAAACATGTTTTCCCATTTAACCTATAATATCCATGTAGGCATCCAAGTTTGTAAACAAAAGCAACAAGTGTATATGGTTGTACATTTGTGTGTATTTCTGACAATCCATCAGAATGTGAAACAGAAACAGGAACTAGGTTATTAAAGTAGTTTTGAAAGAAGATGTGGTTCTTCATCCTCTAGAAGTTGGGTCCCAGTTCCCCCATGGCATGTTTCAGAAGCTGTACAAAAACAAGACATCAGAGATTTCATGCTTCTGGGGAGTATTTTGGGGTTACGTCGATGAAGGTTAGACATCCAGGTAATACGATACGCCAAAAAACAGTTACTCAAGCAACTGGATATGAAGTCAACATATATGAAAGGCAATATATGAAAGAATGTACAACCCCACACTCAACAGGGAAGGGGGGCTACGAGTCGATCTTTCCGGCACTTGGGATTTGGCACTCCCAGCCCCGAGGACAGACAACACTTAAGCTCCTGTTCTGTATAACAGGAGCTGTCAGACTAATTTGCATCATTTTGTCTTGACTTGTCTAACTTTTGTTCCTTTTTCGACTTCCAAAAATTTGTCTTCACTTTATTTGCATATCAATAAACAGGTTGTACTTAAAAACCTGCTTTCCCCTCTGGTCTCTCAGTCACTGACGAAAGCTAGTGGATACTAGCTGAAACGTCTGACGTTTTCAAAATCATATCCAGTTGCTTGAGTAACTGTTTTTTGGCGTATTTTGGGGTTAATGTATAATTGGAACTGTATTGTCTGATCATGGGGAAATACCAGATTGAATTACATCATGGTATGGAATATTGCATCATTGACATATTTTAATTTCATTACATGAGTAGTAAAAAGTAACATTTGCAAAGCAAATGCATAATGTTTACCTTCGCATATGGTCTGCTCTGTTAATTCTTACTCAAACACATTCATATACTAGTACACATATATGGTCAGACAGGAGTCTAAATCCCTCCCGCTACAAAATTGCAACATGATGTAGCTCAACAGTAGTTACCATTGATAGACATCTGGTTCAGGTCATTGACCTTATTGGTTTGGTAAAAATAAGTATACCATGGTTTATGTTTCATACCATGATTACACAGTACACATTCCTGGAAACATCATACATGTACCACATCCTACCACCCTGGACATACTGGGTAATAACCCTGTCAAGCAAATGAAACCCAATCTCTGCCCGCCCACATTATACAAGCAGTGGGCCTGGCATGAGAGGATGTAGCTGTACTGACCTCTGGTGGGACATTCTTCAGTCTGTAGGAGAGCAGGGCCTTGGTCAAGGCGTTGGACAGTTGAAGGGCCATAGCAGCATCGTCCTCACTACTGACCAGGTCTTTAGCCTGACAAGGAAAGAAGGAAACATTACTGTACAAGACAAGATCATCACTCCTTCCAGATGCAGAAGTATTGTTTTGGGTGGCTGAGCTGTGGGTTTGTGTGTTTGCCTGGACAGAGTGACCAGGTCTTTAGTCTGCTGTATGAAACAAGGAAGACAAGAAAAACATCACTACTTTCAGGTACAGAAGTATTGTTTTGGATGGCTGAGCTGTGGGTGGCTGTTTGTATGTGTGTCTGGATGGAGTAGGTTGACAGCATGTGGGTGGGAGGAGATTGACAGGTAGGATGACAAAAGGTCAAAAGATAAGACACAGGGAATGGGGTGAACTTGAAAGTCTCTGAAATCTCTATTTTCTTGATACTCGTTACACTGTGTTTCTTTCTTTTCTGGGGAAGCGGCCAAAAATCAAAGTGTGTGTTCTGTGTGTGTGTGTGAAGATTACAAAATGTATATATGCCATTACACACACAAAAAAATTTGCTTCAATGACTGTCGCAGTCAAATAGATGTACCTTCCACAACCAACACAATGTTTTCTGTTTTTTTTCAAGGTACAGTTATATCGTGTCGTTAGACATTTGATAATGTTCTTGCGCCTTACCCTGCCTATAAGGTCTGCCAGCTGACTTCTGTCTGCCGTGGGTCCATGGCTGGGTCCAGGCTCCCGCATCTATAAAATAATTGTATATCATTAAAGGGTTTATATACTAGTAAACACTGTACACCAGAGCTTAAGCACAGAATGCAATATCTTTATCAACTGTCATTTTACACAAGACTTGAAAATCTGCACAATTTTACTATGATAAATTATCAAATTAATTTTCACAAGGCAAAAGAGGGAGACAGGCTGGGCATAGCAACATCACCAAAGCATATACATCAGTGTTCTAGCCAGCATCTGCCTTTCCATCATTTGATGGAATTTTGATGGTCATGAAGGATAAAAATTTTGTCCAATGTATCATGTTTGATGGACAAAAACCAGTGTGTAAAGATATGGAAGAGATGTCATCCAACTACATTGAGACAACAAGTAAAATTTGACCCTAAAAGTTTCAGAGAGTCAAGATTTCAATTTTTTCTCAGGGGAGTATGCCCCACATATCCCCTAGGATTGTACAAGATATTGAATACAATTGACATGACGGAATAAAATTTCAGGTTGGCTAGAACACTGACAGGTACTTACAGGAAAATCCTCAAAACCACGACCGCGCCCACGTCCGCGGAATTCCGGAGGAAGGGGTCGTCCTCCGCCATATGGGTCAGCCTCGTACCCTTCCCCTCGATAGAACTCCTCTGGGGGAGGACGCCTTTCTCGACGGCAGTACGATATATCGCGGTTGAAGCGTGGATCGTCTTCGTATGGCGCTTCAGGGTACCCTCCCTGATAGTACGGATCCCTGTTGGAAAATAAAGTCATAACGTCTAAAACTGTACAAACTCTCTTTTCCCTATTAGATACCATTTTTTGCGTGGTACTTTTATATTCTTGTTTTTCGTGATCACTTAGCATTGCCGTGAAAAAAAATTCTTTTTGCTGCATCTGCTGCCACCGTACAGTTTGGCAGTGACCATATAGTTAGAACGTATAGTTTGGCGAACATGTTCGTTTTTTTATCAGACCACGAACTTTTCCTACAACGAATATAAAGCGATTTACAGTACACTCGCCTCCTAAAACAGAGGCGATATTGTCCTGATGTGGGATGTTTGGAAAAAAAAGGAAACAAAGTACTGACCTCCTGGGTGACCTGGGTCGGTATGCGGCCGGTGGTAGCATACGACCTCCCCGTCCACGGTAAGGCTCATCAGGATAGCCATAGTCGTAGTCGGATGGACCTGTCAACAAAAAGACATGGACACGCAAGTTGATAATATTGTAAGCTTCATGATTAGGCCTAAGAAATTAAAAAATTGTTGTTTCGGGCTATCCAAAAAAGCCTAGCAAAAACCTGCCGACAGTTACATTGTCTCCAGGGTCAAACCACTGCAGAGGACATAAGATAATCAATCTGACATCTGAGTCCTGAAAACGTTGCAGTATCGTTTTTCAATGTGTTCTACCAGTAATAATATAAAAAGTAGGCCTCCTTGCCTAGAGCCTGACTCTGAGAACCATTCCAGATCCCATTCCTAGAACTACTACCAGGAATAGGATTCACTTCAGAGGAAAGCAGAAAAAAATCCTATCAATCAACCATTTTTTTTTTTCAGGAATTTACAATGTACAAAAATGTACTATAATGGGGACGGTACTCTGATAGAAAATACACCATGGACATTTTGCGAATTTTCCAATTTGGACAATGAAAATATTCGTGCACATCAACAATATGGCATTACAGACCTGGGTAGTAGTCCTCTTCGTACGCGTGTCTTGGCAGGCCACGCCCACGTCCCACGGGTGGCCCGCGGCGGCCCATCGGCACAGGGCCGTGCCCGACGTCACCGTCCCACTCATCGTCCCCAAAACCCATTCTTCGCCGTTTGGCAGCTGTGGAGAGTCAAACATGTCTGTTGTAATTTCTGAAAATAGTTTCATCAAATTGGAACAGTATAGGATATATAGAATACAACACGGGGTATTCCGTATCGCCCGAGGTACCAGCCCGACCGCGCGTCGGATCGCCCGACGGCCGAAGGGTGATCCGATCCGCGGGAGGGCTGGGACCGAGGGTGATGCGGAATACACCGTGTTGTATTTTATTTATGTCATACCCACCCAAGAAAACACGCCTTTTAATGCGAAATAGGCGAACATTTGGTGTCCCTAAACCCAAACAATGCAACAACATCAATTCCAACGTCCGAATTTTGTGTTCGAATTTTCGAAAGCGGTGCAAGCGGTTAGGGCAAAACGCGTTCGAATCGTTCTACGGAACATTTGGAAGGCCCGGGCCGTACGCATTAAGAACCCCCGGACCGTACCGCTAGTTATCACACGGGCCGGAACACCCGTATCGAACGTAATCGCGGCCCAGGTAGGACATAAAGAGGAGTACGGCCTGGGGTTCTAAAATGTTCCATACCTGATGATAGAAAAATTCGAATGCATTTTGCGTGCAACAAGTGCTTCCCTTTTGAAACTTTGAACAAAGAATTCGGATGTTGGAATTGATGCCGTTACACTTTTTGTTCAAATACACGAAATTTTGGCACATTTCACATTGAAATGTCTGTTTTCTCAGGTGGGTATGGCATAAACAAAATACTACACGGTGTATTCTGCATCACCCTGCAATCTGACCCGCTATCAGGCTGGTACCTCGGGCAATACGGAATGCACCGTGTAGTGTTCTATATTTATCTATTGGTAACGTGAGCGTTGTCTCACCGTAAGCGACCTCGTGTCTGCGGAGTTGTTCCGCACGTTTCCGTTTCTCCTTCTCGCGCTGCTGTGGGTTGTAGAAGGGGTTCAGCTCCATCTTCACCTTCACTTCCTTCTGTCCGTCCTGTTTCACTGCCTGGGGCGTCGGGCAAAACTTTCACTCAGCTAAGGCTATACCAAGTACTTTTATGGATTACATCCTCTGGAGACCCTAAATTTCCTGGTCTAAAAAAATGTGTAAAAAAAACATGACATCCTCTGGAGACCCTAAATTTAATGGTCTAAAAAAATGACTTTGGCAATGTCTAGTGATCCAACTCATACCAAGGAGCTCCTTGCTTCTACAATACAAGTAAAACTTCTATTTTCAGTGTCAATGTAGGAAAACTGATTGTACAACATGTCATTACTCAGGTGTCAGATCTTGGAGCTAGGAAAGGTCGATCAGCTTGAAAATGTATGTCCCTCACAAAAAAAAGGCTAGGGTCGGCAGTTTTTTCTATGGTCGGGAAACAGGAAACATTTTTTCCCAGGCCTAACAAAACTCACTGTACGTTTTGTTGCATCTATAAAGCTTCTTATCGAGTGACCTCAAAATTTTCTATTGTATATGTCCTTAGATGAATTTCTAAGACTTGATCATTGACTGTAACCCATTCTGTTCATTTCTTACCTGTTTTACAAACTCTGCCAGGGCTATGGACTGTTCTGAACGGCGTTTATTCTGTAGGGTCATGGCTGCCATGTCAGGATGGTGCTCTTTCTACTCAGGACAAGAAAACAAACAAATAAGAAATCATCATACAGTGTTTAACACACTTGTATATACAGAGAAAGACATTTTCACAATAACATCAGAATAACAGTCAACCATAAACTACAATGTATATTGTAGGTGTCCATGACAAGCTTTCACAATATTTCAATGTTTTACTGTAGCTCCCTTACATGTATCTTACAGTCACTACTCTTTAAACATGTTGTATAAAAGTGATATGAAAATGATCTTGATCCTGTTTAGCTCACCCTGAAGAGCTAGTCTTTCACTGGTTGTGACAGAAAAGACAGACGCTATATACAATATATATAACCAATAAAGACACCCTCTCTCTGTCTGTTGTACCCTGTGTTCCGAGGGTTTGATGTGCTTGCACACTGATGCTGGGGCTTGCTGGTAGCTCGCCATTTGCGTGTAATATTTACTATGGGTACATTGTACCAGGAATATTCCCATGTGTGTGTAGCTCTTTTTGACAAGCACAATGAACAGTGGACCGCTGCTAACCATGACTGTGATCCTTTCCACTAGTGTGCATGTCGGGTGATAACAGCTGGGATTCAAACTCCCAACCTCTTGGTCCAGAGGCACCAACACATTGACCTAAGACCACTTACCAGGTAAGCTAGCCTGTGTCTGGCCCCGATGACGTGGGTGTTTAGGGTACGAGGGTCACACCTGGAGTCACACAACTTACACACGTAGTACTCTTCAATCTCGGGGTCCTCATTCTGAAACTCCGTGATGTAGTCCAGACCTGAAAGTGGACAGAACATGCTCTATTATATTCTAGAGATTATTATATCTTTTCAATGAATTACCGGTAAGACCTTTTCTGTGTATTTTTGGTGACGTCTCAGGAAGGAGCCTAATGGTACAGTATTGTGTGCAGGTTGCAAGAATTCTAGGGATAGTACAGGCATTTTGTCCACAGGCATGGAATGTCCACAGGCATTTCTCTGACCGACATCTATGCCCACATTCCTGGAAACCCTTGGGAAGACTTGTCTGCCCCGGATGGCCCTACTTTCTGTGACCCCGGGGCTCGTTCACTATACACTCAGGGGAGGACTGCACTGTATCTATCTAGACTTAACAGGTACCACGTCTTCCTCAAAATCATGAAATGAAGGCAGTACCATACAAACAACAAGCCTGACAGCAACCACAGTCGCCATGGCAATGTATGTTTTCATTGCCAGTCTTGTTGCCCTTGGAAGTGTGATTGAGGCCAACAACATGTGGTTACACAATGTGTATTACACTGAACGACCTGTTACGTCTACATGTAACCTTTTCACATCTAGCTGCAAGTAAGTAGTGCTGTTTAAAGATATCTCATGAGGATGCCTCTACTGCAATTGGTGGCACCAAGTACCACTCTACACTATGTACTCTCAATAGCAGTATGTCATATTTTTTCAATCTCTGACTTTTGTAGAAAACCTCAATTCAGCCTTGTGCTGCAATGGTTTTTCCATCAATAAAGCATTACTAAACCATTACTAGTACTACTTTAAAATTGTGATGGAGGCCTTACCAACGAGAGGTTCGCCCATCATCTCCAGTTTGTCCATACACCGTGCCGTCCGCAGTGTGTCCACAGTGGTGGGTTTACTGGCCCCATCAGCACTTTTAGTCTTGGCAAATGGCGCCGGTTTCACTGCAGAACAACCAACAACAGCAACTCAGTGTCTTCAAGATAGGGAACAGGGCTCGAATTACATTTATTTGCTACAGTTGCACATGAGAAAAAATTGCATAATTTTTAAAACTTGTACAACATAAAGTTTCAAGTAGAATGTTAGCACAAATTCCAACTACAAACAGAAAGTTCACTTCTCAGTACATGCTGTCTAGGCCCATAAAAAGCAGTATACCTTTCCATATAGCAAATGGAAAACAGTTTTTTTCGACATATTCATTCTTTTACTGGACATTATACATGTACATTACTGATTACCATTCTCTAATTGGTTGAGCCACTGATTGCCATTCTCTCATTGGTTGAACTGTTAATTGAGTAGCAAAAGTTAGGACTTACTGTTTTATAGATGGCTAAAGCCACTACTAGTAATTTGCAGTGGACATTGTAATTTACTTCTTGGTATCTAATTATAGTATCTTGGTATCTAAATTAGTAATTATGTAACCTCATTCATAAAATGTCTATCGGATTCATTCTTTACACCAGATCTATCTATTACATGCAAATATGAAATAATACTAATATACCAAACACTTTGTATCTTGTGTAGTATTTACCCTAGTATCCACTAGTACAACAAGTTTTTACCATCTTTTAACCAAATATATGTACATGTATCAGGTGGGAAACCTTTTAAGTCGCAAAGTACAATGTAATTCAGTTCCTGGGCAAAAGACCAAGGATACACGTACTTGCCTTTTACTATGCACAGGACTGAACTAGTTTCCAACATGGATAGACCCAACTGATTTTTTTTGGTCTTCCTCAGGAAAACTTACCCAACTGTTCAGGTCATGTGACCTAATGGGTCACTTATCCTGAAGAAGGTCTGATGAAAAAAAATCTGTGGAATGTACCCTTTTTGTTGTAAACTAGTTCAATGCTTCCACAAGTTCTGTCCCAAAACAGGTTTTAACTTGCCTGTTATGTGAGATATGGAATGTTGAGAACTTGGAAGATATGACAAAAGTCTTGCATAATCTGTATTGTTAGCCTACAAGACCTCGTGATTAAATTTGCACGCTGTAACTTCACTTACATGACTGTGTACTTTTGCGGTGGTTTTATTTCCCAATAGGAGAGAGAGATTTTTCCGATATCTTACAAACAACGCAGTTGTACAGTATTAGTACATTGGAAATGCATGTTTATGGTGTCATGAATTTGCTGTGAAGAGCCTGCCATACAAAAATAAAACCACCACGAAAGTTTAAACATTTACCAAATGTCTCACTGTAGAGCAAAACTTTTGTCATATCTGGAACAAAATGCAATGTTTCCTCCCTGTTGTGGAATATTAAATATGATACTTATTCAATAACTCCTTACACTTTGCCTCTTTTATGCTATTCAATGTTTGCTATTGAATAGCATTGCTTCAGATTCCTGCATGACTAATTATTATTTATACTTATAGCAGCAATCTTTGAATGTTTGCAGAAAAGAGACATTCTTTTCTTGGCTTATAATAATAGTTACATAGCAACAGTTACATGTATCATGTAAATGTTGCTGTCTGCATTGCACATCTAGTGTAGTATACCACAGGGAGAAATAATGCAAACGTTGACAAGATTTTTTTTAAACGTCAAATCTTGTCTACTTACGCCCTTTCTCGACGGCAGCCATGTTCTGTGTCGTTGCGATTCGCCCAGCGAGACCACGCGGTGGAAGAGGAACACAGAGTGAGTGACGGAATGGTCATAATAACGATAATCGCTCCAACGTCCCATGGCTCTTATTCAAAGAGCCCTGGTCAGTTGGGTTTTACAGAATTTGGGTCTTCCTCTGGTCTTGGACAGAGTTATCAGACATGTAACCTGAATTTTGTAGAGAGAATCGCAAAGCTAGATATATCAGGGCTCTAGCCAGCACCCGTTTTCCCGTCAATTGCAGGAACTTTTTTGTGGCGTGGGACGAAAAAATTTCTTCACCAATCCATCAACCTTGATGGACAAAATTGACAGAAATCTTAAGTAACTAGAAAGGCCGACATTTGCTTGGGAGCAAATACAGCATATTTCAGTCCATCTCTCTCCCACGCAAACGTAGACTATTCCAAACTTACCCCAGTGCAAAACTGGAAGATTCTCAAATAAATGAATTATATTAGAGCTATGTAATTGATAACAAAGATGCAAGAACAAGCACTTTGAATCTCGACAGCTTTACTTACAAAATTTAACATTACTCTTATCGCACAATCTTATACAGTAGCAGGTATGTAAATACTAACAATGATGAGATTTGATACATTTTGAAGGTCTCATTGCAAAGAAAAGGAAATTATACATAACTTTGTAACTATATATAGATGAACTATAAAATTATACATACATACATATTGAACTATACATTAATTAAATACACTATGACACTATACATGTACATAAATATTGAATAAGATGTACATGACCTACATATACTATAAAACACTACATTCATATATTGAATAATCTACATATGATTGACATGATTATATATATCATACATATACTATGCAACTACAAATATCAGATATTGAATATGCTATACATGATTTGTGTATACTATGAAATTACTACAGTACCGTTCTCGTTATAGTTACCATCACCGCCGTTACTATCGCATTTCTAACGTTAGTTTTCCGTTACTAGCTGGTTACTTTTTCGTTACTAACCTGTTTACAAACGCGCTAGTATTGCATTTACTACCGGCGCACTGCTGGAACAGCGGAAGGAACGTTGATCTAGCCGGCATTTTACTATATTGTAACGTTTAAGACGTTTTAACGATCACCGGTGCATCAATTAGATGATAAGATCGATATATTCTTTTGTCACTGTTGTCCAGGCAAGCGTTTCTATAGTTTGTCAACTTTATTTTACTGTTTTTCTCTGTTTGTTTACTTAGTTTACCACCGAATATGCAATCCTAGATGATCTGAAGTTATAAATGCCCCGGTCCGCCGTACATTGTAATAGGCGGCGGGCGTGAGGTAACGTTAGGGATGTGCAAAAACATCGCGGAAAATTCCTATAACGCTCGAAAAAAGGCAGCATATTTACACGTTCCCGCAAACATTTTATGGCTAATTATTGGCCACTCTGAGGGAGTTTTGTTATGTCCTTGGGGTTTTGTTTAGAGTGGGACCGGACGGAAAGCCGTGCCGCGACTCCATAATCGTCCGACTCCGTGCACTTCCGTGTTACATTACGTTGTACGTGACCAACAAAATTACGCCAAAGGCACCACAAATCCACATGTACATATATACATTTTCCCGAAAATTCTTTTTAGTACGCATTTCGTCACTAGGATGTTGCTAATTAGTCGTAGAAATAAGGTACAAAGCAGCGTAAATGTGGCTCGAGCTCTTTTCACTTCGCGCGCCCCGGCATGCAGCCGGCTTCGTTCTAGCCAATCAGAGAGCAGGTCATCAAAGGTGAACCAATCAGAGCGTAGCAGTGCGTTGCTACTTGCATATGTTAATGAAGCATGCAGAGTCCGTGCTGTTTGTAACAGCGAAGCTCTGCTGAGCGCGGCTGGAAATGTGTTTTGCAACTACATGTATATTTTTACGGGGCTTTTCTGACGTTTGACGCTACCTTTGGCACGATATGATCGCACTACCATGTACACGCTACCGGAGGCGGCAGATGAGTGGTCATTTTTACACAATCGTCGAGAAATTTTGACGTTATGCACCCGGAAGTGCGCCGATATCGGTTTGCGTTCCCTCGATTTTTGACAGTTTCCCCCGTCAAAATAAGAAACAAAACTACCGCTATTAAATAGAACCATGTATTACAATTATCATTTGAACATGATTGATCTATAACATATTCCTTTATAATATTATAAGTATAATATCATCATGGTTGTGGAAAGTCCTCAGCTGGCGAACCATTTAGTCGGCATGTCACGAGTTCTTGCGCCGCGCCGGGAGTGACGAACATTTTCTTACACATATTCCGAAACACTTTGCGGTACCCAGGATTAGGGCGGTCTGCATATTCCACCGTCGTGATTGTAGATGACGTAAAAATCTAGGTAACGTTACATAAAAATGAATGTGTGGGTCATTGCGCACGACTTACGTGCAACGTGACCTCAGGTAACCCGCAATGTTCGATGTGTTCGATGGCCAACGGCAGATAGAACGAGCCATTCTTTAGATCGAACGTGGAACGGGTATAGCACTTTTGGCCCTTTTTGGCCTGAAATAGCCATTTAAGTCCCCTAAATGAGTCATTTGGAAGTGGTGTATGCCAAACATGTGACTGCTATTCTGTAGACACATGTTCAAGGTACCCTTATACCGAATTTCAGATCATTTGGTTGTAAAACCAGCGCTCAGGATCCAAAAATCCATTTTTTGTCGAAAAATGCCCCAAAAAACCTTCATAATTTTTTTTCAAAGGCATGTATCAAAAAAATGAAAAAAACGCCTGGGGGTATTGACCCACTCTACCTCCATGCCAAATTTCAAGTCATTTGGCTGAATGGTGGCTGAGTTGAATCCCTTTGACTGTTTGGCAGGAGGAGAAGGAGAAGAAGAAACATCAGAGAACACAATATATTTCATCCATACCATGGTATGGACTGAAATATAAAAATACAAAAACATCCAAAGGAACACCCAACACCTACTCTCAACATCATAATTTGCCTCTCAAAATGTAAAATTACGTTTTCAAAGGCGTGAAAGTCCTAAATTTGCCCTTGGATCCCCCTAGATTGCGAGCACTCTCCCCCCAGGTCCGATCATAAACCTAGGCTGACAGAAAAACAATTCAAGCTGGCTAGAGCCCTGAGACATATAAACAAAAATCTGTGTCAAAATTCAAGGTGCACATCACTGTTTCTCTGACAAAAACCAAGAGGGCTACAAGTTCAGGTGAATCTCATCCGGGCAACAGATGAGAATGCAGCACAGTCCATAAGACGAACCACTCTCGTGTTCCCTGCTATTGTGGACACAGCAAAGCAGGTTATGTATATAAATTGTGATATCTGGGTAAAGAAGTACCAATTTCTTCACACGTGTCCTTTACAATGTGCCATTTTTGTCTTGCTTGCGGGAAAATTTATGAATATTTACTTTTCTCTTTTTACAACATTTGATGATTTCATGACCTCTGAGACATTGCCAAAAAGCTATGTAGTGTCCTGTCAGTGTAAATCTCGGGGGCCACACGACACGCTACCAATTATTGCCCCTGAAGATTTAAACTGATAGGTTCATGTTTCTAAAATGATCTCAGTTTAGTACACTGACATGAGAACTTTGAAGGATCAAAACTGGGTATTGTGGTCTTCCTTTATCGGATATATGTATCAGTTTTAACGTTTTCCTTCTGTTAAGTTCTCATTGTCCAAGTGTACTGTATTTCCTGGGAACTATACCAACACATTGCAAAGTTTATATCAAAGTATATACACTTGTAATGTGAAAGAAAGCTTCCAGATGCATGTTGCTCAAAGTTCTTATAAGAACATCATACTAAGAACACTGGTTTGTTATTGGCAATGTATCAGAGTTGTAACAAGCAACATGGCCAAAATATCACTTTTCGTATAGCTGAAACATCCGACAGTCAGTTTTCAAGTCTACTGTGTAGCATCTTTGAACAAGGACGAAAGAAACTGTTCTACCATCCTGTTCAAAGTAAAAATTCAAACATTTTGAATATACTCGTAGACTTGAAAACTGACTATTTCACATTACCTGGTTGGTTTAAGCATGCAACAAAATGCACTATAATTAAATAGTAGAATACTAGTAGTATGATACGATATGGAAAACATATTCCAATTTTTTTTACTAACTTTTTAGTTACAATTGTAACAATGTAGACGGATATAAACTGCAAATGACCATGTAGAAGTTGCAGTTTTTCATGGCATCGTTCTACCATGTAAAACTGACATTTTGCATTGTTTGGTTGTTCATTGCTCTGAATTCTCTCTTTAAACATACATTCCTTGTATGCAGCACCTGTATGTTGGGGAGTCAGATATGTTTAAAGTTCTGAGGCTATCTGTGTTTTACAACTGAGTGTACACTATCATACTAGCTTTTCTTTACAGATGTTTTGATTGGAAATGCTTGCTTTAACTGTACAAAAAGTTTGTAACGTGTATATTTTACATAAAACAAGCATCCCCAGGAAAAAGCGATGTAAAGAAAAGTTTGGGTACACTCAGTTGAGATCGTACCTTTTTGTGGCGAGCTCCAGCATTGTGGCTTTCAAACTGGGTCTCACTGGTGCACTTGGCCTGGCAGACCTACAATTAATAGAAAAAAATACATGTCAGCAAATCTACAGGCAATCGGTGGTACACTGATAGTGTGATCATCTGCCAATATTTTCTTATAAATGTGTCAGAAATACTTGTATAAACATTGTACTAAATAGTAAGGAATACAGTGACAGTATGCAATTAAGTATACTACAAAATGCACATGCACATGCCATGCAAGCCGTTGGATTACCTACTACATTTTGTACAAAATGCATGTGTAAAGGTCTGATGCCTCAGGGGCTAATGTCTGAAGCTCCGCCCTTACAAGTTACATTACAAAGTAGCTGGAACAGCCAACCTTATATCCCCATATCTGAAAGAACAAATTTACTAGTAACTTTCACATCTTGATCCTCTGGATCCGTGGAATAGCACTTGTGCCACTGGACACCAGTAATTATTTCAGGGTACTGAAGTATGTTTTGGGTGGCTGAGTTGTGGGTTTGTGTATGTTTGTCCAGACAGAGCAGGTTGACAGCATGTGGGTGCCGGGTGGGGATCAGTTTGACATGCAGAGTGACAGATGTCAAATTCTCTCAAAAGGTCAGACTCAGGAAATGGGGTCAATGTGAAGGTCTCAC